CCCGTCCTCGGGCCCCGCACGGCGCCTGCGCCGCGCCCGCCGCGCTCACCGCCTTCTCCAGGTGGCTGCGCGCCTGCTCGCTGTTCTTGGTGTGGTGGTAGAGCACCGAGCCGAGCTGCAGGTGCGTGCGGGCCTCGATGCGCTGCGGCGGCTTGAAGGGGAACACAGCCTGCAGGCAGTGGACACACAGGCGGATCTTGGGCGGGCTGGAAGTGCGGAAGTGCTCGGCGAAGCCCAGGAGGGCCAGGTACCACGACTCGGCCGCCTCGGCCTGCGCTGCCTGCGCCGCAGCGGCCTGGGCCGCCGCCGCCGCTTGAGCCGCCATTTTGGCCTCCACAACAACAAGCCGCCTCCAGAGGGGAGGCGGAAGCGGGCGCGCGGGGCGGGGCCAGGCGCCTCTCGTGGCTCTCGCGAGATCTGCCGCAAAAAGGCATCCTGGGATGGGTAGTCTGTATTTAGGACGGGCCGCGGGTAAAGAAAGGTGGGAGGAAGGGTAACACACGCTGGGTTCTCGGGGCCGAGACTTTACATCTCCATTAGGCTGAAGCTTTACTTCGTTATGGTGCAGATCCGTGGTGTTTGGCGGCAGCGGGACGTGCGGGACCGATGTGGACTACGTCTCCCATGAGGCCATGCGCACTATAACAAGTTCCTCCAGGTGGCGCCTAAGCATTGTGGGATTGGATGAGTCTCAAGATGGACAACCGGGATGTTGCAGGTAACAGCCCTCGCCTCCCCTCAGGCGCTCGCCTGGGTGCTCCTGGCTGCGTGACGCGGCTTCGCCCTGCTGTGGGTCCTGCGCGGACCCGCGGACCCCTCGCCTGGGCCCCCGGGCAGCACATAGTGGCGAATTCTGCACCGCCCTCTTCTGAGACCCCAGACCCAGCTTGCCAGTCGCTCCCGCCCGGTCCGCTGAAGGCGCCCCGTTTCCCCCCGAGGCTGTCCCGCGGCGTCAGCCCTGTGTCGCTTGCCAAAAAGCTGCCTTCATAGCCGGGCGTGGTGGCGCACGCCTGTAATCCCAGCACTCGGGAGGCTGAGGCAGGAGGATCGTCTCGAGTTCGAGGCCAGCCTGGGCTACAAAGTGAGCTCAAGGCCAGCCTGAATTGCATAGCGAGACCCTGTCTCTAAAAAAGACAAAAAAAAAACCCCAAAAAACAACTGCCTTCAGGGCTGCTCTGAGCTCCGATCCCAGCCAGGGCGGCAATCTTGGGCTGTCCTGCACCCCTGTTTATAGCAGCTGCTCTCTGGCCCGTGTCCCGCTTTTCTGGACAAGGTGCCTTTTTGAACCGTCCTGGAGCTCTCGGTACACGCGTTGTCAGGGCTTTTGAACCCACTTTCCCCCAAGTCTTGTTTTTACACCTCCAGAATAGGATGCACTCATCTAGCCAGCAAGTGTTGTGTACCAGGCACTGTGCTAGGCTCCAAGGATGCAGCAGGCACCAAAACAGGGCTCTCCCATCCGGGAACTGGGATGTCAGTGCACCGGGACCAGATATTTCTGGATAGAAAGTTGTGCTGATGTGGGGAGAGGGTAGGAAGGGAAGGCGTTTTTGAGCAGAGGACATTTGAGATGAAAAGATCCCAGCTGTGGGGAAGCCTGGAGGGCAGCCCTTCCCAGAGGTGGGGTAACCAGCAAGTGCAAAGGCCCTGGGGTGGGCTGTGTTTGTCCCTGTGAAGGATGGAACAGAGGTAAGGAGGAGAAACATCTCCAACACGACTTAGAAAAACACTTTCCAGAATTTGGGTTTTGTTCCCAGTCCCACTGGAAACAAAATTTTGGGGTGTCTTCTCCATCTCAGTGGGTAGTCCAAAGACACCATCATCTTTTGTTTGAAGGCTAAGCCTCCTTGGTCTTCTCACGGCCTGTGAGCTCTTTGACTGAATGATCACCTACTCACTGGGATGAACTTGAAAATAAAAGGATCCAGTGGATCTTGCTGCTGAGCTTAATGCTCCCTTGCCGCTCCTCAGATGTTTAAAGTGAAACCCAGACTCTCACCCTGCCCTACGTCTGCGTGGCGCTGGAGCAGCCTGCTTCAGCCATGCTGGACCTCTGCCCAACCGCAGAGACACAGGGCTGCTTTCTGCCCTGGACTCTCAGCATCTGCTCCTTGCTCTTCCCACATCTCTGCTGTGGATGTTCACGACCCTGGCGCCTTATACTCTAGTTCCAGCTTCAGGGTGCTCTTCTGGTGGCGGTTTTCTGACTGCTGTACCTCTGTAGGTCCCCTTCTACTATCCTGTCTCACTCTTCTGTGGTTCCACCAGTTTTTCCACAATTTGCAGTTATTTATTTGCTCGTTTTGTTACGGGTTTGTTGTGCCTGCAGCCAGAGGCAAGCTCTGGATGGGTGGACACCTGGTCTGTCTCGCTGAGCGCCTTTAGGCCCAGCTAGGTAGCAGGTGCTCTGTGTCTGCTGACTGCATGGAGGGCTGATGGGTGAACCTGCAAGAACATCAGTTGCTGGGTGGCCCATGCTGGGTGTTTGTGGAACCAAAGTGATCTCCCGCCCCAGGAAAAGCCAACCGGTGGTTTGGGGTTGCTCCCCCCAAATCTGGAAAGATGAACATGAACATTCTTCACCAAGAGGAGCTTATCGCTCAGAAGAAACGGGAAATTGAAGCCAAAATGGAACAGAAAGCCAAGCAGAATCAGGTGGCGAGCCCTCAGCCCCCACACCCTGGCGAGTGAGTACCTCCTGGGCCTGCGTTTCTCAGAGGATCACGAGCAGAGGGTCTTGCTTGTGAGCCTTGGTGTGTGCAGGTAACTGGCCACAGCTTGAGGATGCAAGGAATGACCAGGGGCCCCAGGAAGCTGAGCATGTGGGAGAGAAGTGGTAGGTGTGTAGTGGCCCAGGGGACGGCCTGCCAACTTGTGCCTCAGCAGCTGTTTCCCTCCCCAGCTGTAGGGTGGAGGACAGGCATGCAACATGCAGCGAAAACCTGGACTCCGGGTTGGAGGATGGCTCCGTGGTGAGGTGTCCTCACACCTAGCATGTGTGAGTCCTGGATTCCATCCCCAGCAGCACAAGAACAAAAAAATAAAGCAATGTAAGCCAGGCGTGGTGCCCCATGCCTATAATACCAGCACTTGGGAGGCTGAGGCAGGAAGATCCTTGCGAGTTTGAGATCAGCCTGGGCTACAAAGTGAGCTCAAGGCCAGCCTGAACTGCATAGCGAGACCCTGTCTCAAAAAGATAGATAAATAAATGAAGAAAGAAAGCAAGCAAGCAGTGTAGCGCTCTCTGCTCTGTTGAGCTTCTAGCAAAGGGGCACTAGTGTACCCCAGAGGGGTTGGAGCCCCAGGTCGAGCCAGGAAAAGGTGAGAGCCTGTGGGTGCAAAAGGGGTTGTCACAGAGCAAGATTTTCTGCCTGCCTGTCGCCAGGACACGAAGAGCATGGAGGAGTTTTTTTTTTTGGAGGGGTACAGTGTTGGGGTTGGAACCCAGAGCATTCTAGGTGAGAGCGCTCACCCCTGTGCCCAGCCCGAACCCAGCCCCAGCCCATGCTGAAGGAGTTTGAGCAACAGGACGAAATCAAGAATTTCAGGCTTCAGGTTGATAATCAGAGGCAAGGTCCTTCCTCTGGGGTCTGAAGTGAGGGGTACGTTAACCTACAAAGTTCTGTTTGCGCTCCTGCCTTTTCCAGAGGCTGTGGCTTCTCGTGAGGGCGGGACTTAGGCAGGGCCTAACGCTGCCAACATTTGCACGGGTTGTCAAGTGACTGCTTGGGTTGGCACACCTGGAGTTGGGACAGGCCTGCGGGGTTGCCTCCCAGAGGGTCTCCTCGAGGCTGAGAGACTACAGCCCCAGGAATGGGCAGCAGAATGGGGACATGGGCTGGGTAGGTATCTGCCCAAAAAGCTTTGGAAATAAGGTGGTTTTCTCCCTGTGAAAACCAAAACATCAGAATTGAGGATTTATATCTGAGGAAGCCAGGCGTGGCAGTGCACGCCTGTAATCTCAGTACTCTAGGAGGCCGAAGCAGGAAGATCCTTTGAGCCCTCCCTGGGCGACTTAGCAAAACTGTGCCTCAAAAACAGGAAGGGGCTGGAGATGTAACTCAGTGCAAAGGTCCTGCGTTCGATCCCCAGTACTAAAAAAAAAAATTTAAGGTTGAAATTAGGGTCAGTTGTATATCCTGCTTTCCATCTACTTTTTAAAAAAAAAATTTTATCATGGTACGATATGAGTATGGTACAATATGTGTAACAAAATTTATCATAAGGGATGCGGGGCTCAGTAGGCCCTGGGTTGAGTCCCTGGCACCAAAACAGAAAAGGCCATTCTGCCGTCTCCAGGGGTCCATTGGACCTGGAGCGGCGGCGTTCGGGCAGAGATAACTGAAGTAAATGTGGTGTTTCCCTCTAGCCTGCCAGAGCCTGCTGTGTGCTCGGAGTAGTCGTCCCTAGACACCCCGGGAGGCAGCGCTCAGGTCGCTCTAAGGGGGAAGCCCAGGCGGGCACAGGGCCGGGGAGCTGGTCACCCTCTGCCGCCCTTGCCGGCTCATCTTCTGTCCTCTCCTGGCTTCTAGAGTTGCAAACGCACACAACTCCTGCATCTCCAACAAGTTTGCCAACGACGGCAGCTTCTTGCAACAGTTTTTGAAACTGCAGAAGGCACAGACCAGCACAGGTGAGTACAGTCCACCCCAAGCCCCGAGCCTGGTGCGCTGGGAGTGGACAGGTCCCGTGTCGGAGCCGTCTGGCTCACCCCAAGTTCATCAAATGCCCTCATGTGGCAAGCCCAGATCTGGCCGAGGTTGCCGCCCCGGCAGGGCAGAGCCCAAGAAGCCAGATTCCAGGTGGGGGCCAGGTGGGGGGGCCCCTTCCCCTGGGGCAGCGGTAGGGGCCGTGTGCAGGCAGGGTGCACATAGCATCAGGCTGCCTCAGACACCTGGGAGCAGCAGGCAGGGAGCAGCCGGCTTGGGGCAGCAGGCAGCCTGCAGGCAAGCAGGGATCCTGGCGGTTACCATAGGGCAGTGGCGTTTTCTGAGCGCCAGGGAGTCCAGGCTACCACGGTGCCCACCACGTCCCAGCATGCTCTCCGCCTGGAACCGGCAGCGTCAACGCCTTGTCCTTTGTATCTCTGCTCTCTTCACTTAACGACAAAAGCACCACAGCAAGTTGAAATCCCCCCAGCCAGCTCCTGAAGGGAATCTGTTAAGGCCTCTGTCATCATCCTGTCACCCTAGCGTTCGTGCAGCACTGTTTCATTCTCTGCGTTTCTTTTTCACCAAGCAAGACTCCTTGGCCGTCCAGCGGGTCCCCACAAAACTCACTGGGTGCCAGCCCTGCTTTCCACCGGGGCATGCGGCCCCCAGGAGGCCCAGCTCAGCACAGCTCACGGGGGTGGGAGCTGCCAC